ATTTGACTTTTACAGTTGCATTTCCTATTTTAAAAAAATTCAAAATTTTTCTTATTTTGAACAGAAATTTTTCAGTGTATTTGAACAAAGTGTAACAGTATTGAAAAAAAAGATTCGAAAATATTATGAAATACTGGATGTCCAATGTGAAATCACCCTGTATAATTTTTTTAAACATTTTTCGATTTTATATGCATATTTAAGTATGAAGTTTTTTATCGATAAAGGAGTCAAGTTGTACAAAAACATAGCCTGCTTCATTTAATAAAATTAGTCGAAGGTTATTTCGAGAGAATTTCCCTCGTCATACAAATCCCGCAAAACCAGTGGCGTAAATGTGAACAGCAGACAATATGAAATAAATCTATTTAAAGCAGATAACCACCGAGAAAAAATGCTTTTCGATAAATCGAAAAACTGAAAAATTGAAATATCGGGAAATTGAGAAATCAGAAGACTCTGAAGATCGGAAAACTGAAAAATTCAGAAATTAAAAAATTCTCAAAATTGAAATTTGAAAAAAGAGAAATCGAAAACTTGAATTTTTGAGAAGTTGAAAAATCGAAATTTGAGAAATCGAAATGGGCTAAAATCCCAATAAACTAAAAAATCGAAATCGAAAAACTTTAAATTGAAAAATGAAAAATCTTAAATTTTAAAAATTGTAAAACCCAAAAAATAAAAAACCGAGACGTTGAAAAATCGGAAGATGCAGAAATCGAAACGTCAAAAAAACTGAAAAATATAAAAATTCAGAAATAGAAATATTTAAGAACTGAAAACTGCAAAAATAGAGAGACTGAAAAATTTTAAATTTAAAAATGAAAATAAAAATCGAGAAATCGGAAAATTGAACAGTCGAAAAATAGAAAAATGGGACAAAAGTGAGGAATCGAAAATTGAGAAATCAAAAAAATTAAGACATCGAAAAGTTGAACAGTCGAAAATCTAAAAAATCGAAAAATTGAAGAATTAAAAAATCGAAATGTTGAATAGCTAAAAAATCGATTAATCGAGTAGAAAATTGAAAAATTAAAACATCGAAAAACTGAAAAATTCAGAGATTGAAAAATACTCAAAATTGAAAGGTTGAATATTGAGAAATCGAAAACTTGAAATTTCCAGAAATTTGAAAAGCCGAAAAATTTTAAAAATCGAAAAATCGAGATGTCAAGAAACCGAAACATCAAAAAACCGGGAAAATCGAAAAACTGTAAAATCAAACTTAAAAAAAATGGAAAATCGAAAAGTCCAAGAATTCAAAAAGTGAAACATCGAGAAATCAAAACATCAAAAGATCGAGAGATGGAAAAGTCTAGCAGAAAACTCAAAAAATCGAAAAATTGAAAAATCGCGCAACTGAAACCTCGGAAAATTTGAAAAGTCGAAAATTCAGGAATTTAAAAGTTGAAAAATTGAAAGACCCAAAAATGAAAAACTGAAACGTTGGAAAACCGAAAGATCGAGAAATCGAAACATCAAAAAACTGAAAAATCTAAAATTTAAAATTCGAAAAATTCAAAAATAGAAATATCGAAGAACTGAAAAATGTAAAAATCGATTAATCCAGAGATTCAGAAATCGAAAAATTGAAAATTTAGAAACGCCAGAAACTGAAAAATCTAAAAATCGGAAAATCAAATAACGAAAAATCGAAAGATCAAAAATTAGAAGAATCCAAAAAATGAAAAATTCGAAGGAAATAAGATGAAAACCGTAAAATCTAAAATTTAACAAATTTAAAAATGAAAATATGAAAAATCGAAAAATTGAAAAATGGAACAAAAGTAAAACATCGAAAAATTGAAAAATTCCAAAACTGAAACATTAAAAAATTGAAAAATCGAAAAATTGAAGAATTGAAAAATCGGAACATTGAAAGAAATGAGAAATCTGAATTCAAACCAATCCATTAATAGAGAAATTGCGAAATCGACAAATTGAAAATTTAGAAAAGTCAAAAAAAGAGAAATCGAAAAACGAAAAATCGAAAATCTGAAGGATAAAAAAACTGAAAAACTCCAAAATTGAAACATCGAAAAATTAAAAAGACGAGAAATCCGAAAAGTCGAAAAATCGAAAATTTCAAAAATCACAAGTCTGAAAAATAAAAACCAGAAAAATCAAAGAATTGAAAAGAGAAATGAAAAAATTCAAAAAATCGTTTAACTGAGAAATTGAGAAATCAAAAAATTGAAAAACCGTTATCTGAAACACCGGAAAATTGAGAAATCGAAAAATTGTAAAAACAAAAATTGAAGACGGAAAATTGAAACATCGACACATCGAAACACCAAAAAATCGAAAAACTGTAAAATCGAAACTTAAAAAAATGGAAAATCGAAAAGTCAAAAATTCAAAAAGTGAAACATCGAGAAATCAAAACATCAAAAGATCGAGAGATGGAAAAGTCTAGCAGAAGACTCGAAAAATCGAAAAATTAAAAAATCGCACAACTGAAACCTCGGAAAATTTAAAACCCGAAAATTTGAAAAGTCGAAAAATCAGAAATTTTAAAAGTTGAAAAATTGAAAGACCCAAAAATCAAAAACCGCAACGTTGGAAAACCGAAAGATTCTAGAAATCGAAACTGAAAAATCTAAAATTTAAAATTCGAAAAATTCAAAAATAGAAATATGGAAGAACTGAAAACTGTAAAAATCGAAAAATCTAAAATTTTAAAAATTTGAAATTAAAATGGTAAAATAGGAAAATTGATAAACCTCAAAACTGAAAAATCGAAAAATTCAGAAAACAGAAGTTGAAAAATCGTAAAATCAACAATTGAAAAATGGAATCATTGAAAAGCTGAAAAATCGGAAAATGTGAAATCAAAAAATCGTTAGTCCAGAAATTCAGAAATCGAAAAATTGAAAATTTAGAAACACCTGAACTGAAAAATCTAAAAATCGGGAAGTCAAATAAGAAAAATCGAAAGATCAAAAATTAGAAGAATCGAAAAATTAAAAATACGAGGGAAATAAGATGAAAACCGCAAAATCTAAAATTTAAAAAAATTAAAAATTAAAATATGGAAAAAAAAAAAATCGGAAAATCGAAAAATTAATAAGTCGAAAAATTGAAAAATGGAACAAAAGTTAAACATCGAAAAATTGAAGAATTGAAAAATCGAAACATTGAAAGAAATGAGAAATCTGAATTCAAACAAATCGATTAATAGAGAAATTGCGAAATTGACAAATTGAAAATTTAGAAAAGTCAAAAATTGAGAAATCGAAAATTTGAAGGATAAAAAAACTTAAAAACCCCAAAATTGAAACATCGAAAAATTAAAAATACGAGAAATCCAAAAGGTCGAAAAATCGAAAATTTCAAAAATCAGAAGTCTGAAAAATAAAAACCTGAAAAATCGAAGAATTGAAAAGAAAAATGGAAAAAATCAAAAAATCGTTTAATTGAGAAATCGAAAAATGAAGAAACGAGAAATCGAAAATTTGAAGAATCGAGAAATTATACTGAAAATTTCGAAAAATTAAAAAATCCTAAAACGGAGAAATCTAAAGTTGAAAAATCGGAAAATCGAAAATCCAAAAATCCGAAAAATGTCGACGGAGAACAATTCAAAGCACAAATGGAAGAGTAACAAAGATTTTCAAAAATTCTGAATAAACACAAGTTTTTTTCATAAAAAAAAATCTAATAAGATTTTAAAACAATTTTTGAAAATTTTTCGAAAATTTTAAGTAGGTACTGTTGACAGATTTTTTTCAAGTATTGTAGATTAATACAGTTAAATAATAGGAAAAATTCGGCTCAAAACTCTTTATTTAGTATCAACCCAAAATTCTCATGACATGACAATTTTTTGTTGAAAGTTAAAAAAAATGGAAAATTTTGGACTCTAGAGTTATCCTATCAAGAAAAAAAATTCTGAATTATTATTAACAGTTATTTTCAAAAACTATTGACGTATCACAGCTACCAGCAGACCAAAAATTTTAAAGAAAATTTTTGAATTTTTTCTAGAAAAAATGTTTAGTACTGCTGACATTATTTCAGCTGTAGCTTGATACAATCAGATAATAGTAAAAATTCGGCTCAATTTTTGATGTCTTGTCTTCCAAAAACTTGAAACAGGAACAAGTTTATTTGAAAAATTTCTAGTACTTTCAGATTAAATCAAGACTTTTTTAGTTTTAAAACTGACAGTTCTATAAATCGGAATAATTCGGTTACAAATTATTAATTTCCACCAATTTTTTGTTGTTTAAAGTTTCCAAAAAATGTTTTAAAAAACTGGAACCCTTTTTTGTTATCTTGATTTTCAAGCATTTTTCGGGTTTAAAATAGACAAATCTATAAAGATCCTTACTAACAGGTTAAAGATTAATATTTTTCTGAGACTCCAAAGTCTTTTCGAAAAAAGTTTTTCTAGTTTAACAAAATTAAAAAAGAGTTGGCCACAGGTTGAAGATTTCAAAGAAAATATTTGAAATTAATATTGCACAACATGCAAATTTTCAACAAAACAACATTCGATTTTTCTGAAAATCAGACGTTACGTAGCAAATGTTCTTGTAATTGCAAGAATGGCACTTTTATATTAGAAGGTTGAATTTATTCCTGGAAGCCAATGCCAAGCTTTTCCTTTCGCTTTATTGACTAATTAAGCCTTTGCTCTATTTTACATAGATTTATGCATACAAATTAATGCATAAATGTTACAAGAAAAATGTATTAAGTAAGGTTTTCAATAGCAGCGAATCTAATATTTTAATAATAATAGTAATAATACTAATAATGTTAGTAAAGTCGTTTTTTTGGGTCTAAAAACCAGAAAATTTCAAATTATAATATTTTCAACACACACAATAATAAAAAAACAGAGAAACCCGGCATTCCTGTCGATTTTATCTCACACTCAACAACAAAACTTAAAAACACCGGGAACTAGCCGTTTCCTTGTTCGAGAAAGTCAATTAGCGTGTAAATCATAATTCCTGCACTTCCTAATCAGTAATCACACTCAACCAACTCACTTTTCAGCGCCCAGTTCTCCATTTTCCGCAGCCCTTGTAGGTACATCTCCACGTCCCTGCGGCAGCCCGCCCCCACGAAGCCCTTCGTCCGCTCCCAGTTGGCCGCCAGGACCTCCGTGTTGTAAAAATTGAGCACTCGCGCCAAACTCGCGGGCACTACGGTGTGGTTGCCACCCGCACTCAGATTGACCTGGGGCAGCGAGTACTTGGGGTCCACTCTGGTCCCTTCGCGGTACTCCATCTCGTTGGCTGAGTCGGGGTCCGCGCACTTCGCCGTCGCGACGCACGCGAGGAGCAGGAAAAGGGCGCTCTTTTTCATTTCTGAACCCGTGCGAAGACGCTTCGGGCAAGTTCAAGAGTGCGGTGTTGAATGAACATTGACATGTGCTGGAGGTGGAGGCTCCCACTTTCTCTCTCTTCGAGTGGTTAGCGGTTGGTGGCCCCACTTGTGAGTGCGAGGAATGGGTCGGGAGGATGAAAGTGAGATATGTCACTAAAGAGCGGAAAAAGGCAAAATAGGTGATAAAAAAATGAATTTTAGGCAAAATTAGATATTTTTCTAAAGAAATAAATCTCCCGTTTCCGTCTGTCTGTCCATCTGTCTGTCCGTCTGTCCGTCTGCCGCCCCGGGGACGAACTCATTCAAATTAAATTAATTTCTAGGTGATGTTCTTCCGATGTATAAACATAAACATTTTCAAGTTGTTTTTCTGCCGAGGAGGACGTACAGTAAAGGAGTCCATCAGGCAATTTGGTACTTTTATATTTTCTCGATATTTCATAACCCCTAAACAAGGCCGTAGCTAGGGGGAGGCTAAGGGACGCTGAGCCTCCCCTAGATCTAGACAAGTTACAATTAACCAAATATGAATTCCAACATCGAAGATCAAAATGAATTTCTAAATTAAAAAAAAAAATAATTCCAGACAAATTTTGTTAAAAAAAAGTTTTAAGAGTTTCATTTTATCATTTTAGAAATTTTCACCATTCCATTATTAAATTACCTACTTTTAATTTTAAAAACTTGAAAATTTCGTAAGATAATATCGGAGATTTTGAAAAAATTTCAAGGCAAAAAATCCTATTTTTTATTAACAAATCGAGGAAAAAATATTGCTTAAACTCCCAGAAAACTGTTCAATCATTCATTTCTTCAGTTTTTCGATTTTTGTGATTATTGCTTTTATTATTGTTTCAATTTTTCGTTTTTCAAACTTTCGCGTTTTTAATTTTTCGATTTTTCGGTGGTTTGAGTTGGAATTTTTCAAGTGTTCGATTTAAAATATTCCAAATTTTCAGTTTTTTAATTAATCGATTTGGAATTCTTCATTCAAATGTTCAATTTTTTGATATTTTTGACTTCAGAATTCTTCAATTTTTCGATTTTTCTCTTCAATTTTTCAATTTCTCGTTTTTTAATTTTTACATTTTCCAGTTTCTCTACTTTTTAGTTTAGTTTTTAAATTTTCCAGTTTTTGGGTTTTCAATTATCCGATTTTCCGATTACTTGAAATTTCAATGTTTTGTTTTTTCGATTTTGTACTTTTTCGATTTTTCCGAATTTTCCTTTTTCTCGGATTTTTATTCTTTCGATTGTTTGGATTACTTGGATTTTTTAAAATTTTCGACTTTTTGACTTCTAATTATTGGAGCTCTTGAGAGTCTTGGGTTTTTGGATCTTTTGAATTTTTTTGATTTTCTGGATTTTTTGGATTTAACAAATTATTGGATTTCTCGAGTTTCTGGGCATTTTTTGGATTTTGCGGATATTTTGGATTGTTTTTTTTTTTAATTTTTAGGGTTTGTTTGAACTTTTTTGGATATTTTAAATTCTTTGGATTTTTTGGATTTCCTGGATTTCTAGGATTTGTTTTTTTAATTGGATTTTCCTAATTTTTGGGATTTTTCTGATTTATTTTTAAAAATTTTTTGTTTTCTTGAATATTTTAAATTCTTTGCATGTTTTGGATTTTCCTAATTTTTTGAGTTTTTTCATTTTGCAAATTGCACTTTCCCAATTTTTACTTATTTTAACTTTTCTGTCTTAAACTGTTGACTTACTTTTGAAGTCTTCAAAGTGTCACCAAAATTGTTAAATTTTGACGTATTTTACAATGCTGCTTTTCTGAATTAAAAAAAAATAATTCCAGATAAATTTTGTTAAAAAAAAGTTTTAAGAGTTTCATTGTATCATTTTAGAAATTTTCACCATTCCATTATTAAATTACTTTTAATTTTAAAAATTTGAAAATTTCGTAACACAATATCGGAGATTTTCTTTCTTCAGTTTTTCGATTTTTCTGATTATTGATTTTTATTGTTTCAATTTTTCGTTTTTCAATCTTTCGATTTTTCAGTTTCGCGTTTTTAATTTTTCGATTTTTCGGTGGTTCAAGTTGGAATTTTTCAAGTGTTCGATTTAAAATATTCCAAATTTTCAGTTTTTCAATTAATCGATTTGGAATTCTTCATTCAAATGTTCAATTTTTCGATATTCTTGACTTCAGAATTTTCCAATTTTTCGATTTTTCTCCTCAATTTTTCAATTTCTCGTTTTTTAATTTTTACATTTTCCAGTTTTTTGATTTGCAATGTGTGTTTCGAGGTCTCAATTTAAGAAGTTTTTTAATTGTTTGTCTTTTCCCTTTTTCAGTTTCTCGTTTATTCAAATTTTCATCCTTTGAATGTATCAGTTTTTCGATTTTAAAATTTTTCCACTTTTCATTTTTCCAGTTTCTCTACTTTTTAGTTTAGTTTTTAAATTTTCCAGTTTTTGGGTTTTCAATTATCCGATTTTCCGATTACTTTAAATTTCAATATTTTGTTTTTTCGATTTTGTACTTTTTCGATTTTTCCGAATTTTCTTATTTCTCGGATTTTTTTCTTTCGATTGTTTGGATTACTTGGATTTTTTTGTTTTTTGGATTCCTCGAGTTTCTTATGTTTTTGGATTTCTTCGTTTTATTTGTTTTTTTTTTCATTTTCGGATATTTTGGATTTTTTACCTTTCCGGATATTTTTTTTATTTTGGATATTTCGGATTTTTTGATTTTTTTTAAATTTCCTTTTAATTGCCTGGATTTCTTGTTTTTTTGAATTTTTCAAATTTTTCGGATTCATTTTGTAATTTTTTTGGATTAATTTGCTTGGATTTTTTAGAATTTCCGACTTTTTGATTTCAAATTATTAGATCTCTCGAATTTCTGGGCATTTTTTGGATTTTGCGGATATTTTGGATTATTTTTTTTTTATTTTTAGGGTTTGTTTGAATTTTTTTGGATATTTTAAATTTTTTGCATTTTTTGGATTTCCTGGATTTATTGTTTTATTATTTCGATTTTCCTAATTTTCCGGAATCGAGAAATCGAAAAATTTAACAGTCGCAAAATAGAAAAATGGGACAAAAAATGAGGAATCGAAAATTGAGAAATCAAAAAAATTAAAATATCGAAAAGTTGAACAATCGAAAATCTCAAAAATCGAAAAATTGAAGAATTAAAAAATCGAAATGTTGAAAAACTAAAAAATCGATTGATCGAGTAGAAAATTTAAAAATTAAAACATCGAAAAACTGAAAAATTCAGAGAATGAAAAATACTCAAAATTGAAATGTTGAAAATTGAGAAATCGAAAACTTGAAATTTCCAGAAATTTGAAAAGCAAAAAGCCGAAAAATTTCAAAAATCGAAAAATCGAGATGTCAAGAAACCGAAACATCAAAAAACCGTGAAAATTGAAAAATGTAAATTTAAAAAATCGAAAAATTGTAAAAAACAAAAATTGAAGACGGAAAATTGAAACGTCGACACATCGAAACAACAAAAAATTGAAAAACTGTAAAATCAAAAGTTAAAAAAAATGGAAAATCAAAAAGTGAAACATCGAGTAATCAAAACATCAAAAGATCGAGAGATGGAAAAGTCTAGCAGAAAACTCGAAAAATCGAAAAATCGAAAGTGTCACAAAAATTGTTAAGTTTTGACATATTTTTACAATGCTGCATTTCTAAAATAAAAAAAAATAATTCCAGATAGATTTTGTTTAAAAAAAAGTTTTAAGAGTTTCATTTTATCATTTTAGAAATTTTCACCATTCCATTATTAAATTACTTTTAATTTTAAAAACTTGAAAATTTCGTAATATAATATCGGAGATTTTGAAAAAATTTCAAGGCAAAAAATCCTATTTTTTATTAACAAATCGAGGAAAAAATATTGCTTAAACTTCCAGAAAACTGTTCAATCATTCATTTTTTCAGTTTTTCGATTTTTGTGATTATTACTTTTATTATTGTTTCAATTTTTCGTTTTTCAAACTTTCGCGATTTTAACTTTTCGATTTTTCGGTGGTTCGAGTTGGAATTTTTCAAGTGTTCGATTTAAAATATTCCAAATTTTCAATTTTTTAATTAATCGATTTGGAATTCTTCATTCAAATGTTCAATTTTTCGATATTTTTGACTTCAGAATTTTTCAGTTTTTCGATTTTTCTCTTCAATTTTTCAATTTCTCGTTTTTAATTTTTACATTTTCCAGTTTTTTGATTTGCAATGTGTTTCGAGGTCTCAATTTAATAAGTTTTTAAATTTTTTGTCTTTTCCCTTTTTCAGTTTCTCGTTTATTCAAATTTTCATCCTTTGAATGTATCAGTTTTTCGATTTTAGAGTTTTTCAATTTTTCATTTTTTCAGTTTCTCGACTTTTTAGTTTAGTTTTTAAATTTTGCAGTTTTTGGGTTTTCAATTATCCGATTTTCCGGTTACTTTAAATTTCAATATTTTGTTTTTTCGATTTTGTACTTTTTGGATTTTTCCGAATTTTCTTATTTCTCGGATTTTTTTTTCTTTCGAATATTTTGAATTACTTGGGTTTTTTTGTTCTTTGGATTTCTCGAGTTTCTTAGGTTTTTGGATTTCTTCGTTTTATTTGGTTTTTTTTCATTTTCGGATATTTTGGATTTTTTAGCTTTTCGCATGTTTTTTTTTTATTTTGGATATTTCGGATTTTTTAATTTTCTTTTAATTGCCTGGATTTCTTGTTTTTTGAATTTTTCAAATTTTTCGGATTTATTTTGTAATTTTTTTGGATTAATTTGTTTGGATTTTTTAGAATTTTCGACTTTTTGATTTCAAATTATTGGAGCTCTTGAGAATCTTGGGTTTTTGTACCTCTTGAATTTTTTTTATTTTCTGGATTTAACAAATTATTGGATCTCTTGCGTTTCTGGGAATTTTTTGGATTTTGCAGATATTTTGGATTTTTTTTTTTAAATTTTGAGGGTTTGTTTAAATTTTTTGGATATTTTAAATTCTTTGGATTTTTTGGATTTCCTGGATTTATTTTTTATTATTTGAATTTTCCTAATTTTCCGGATTTATTTTTAAGATAGTTTTTGGATTTTTTCATTTTCGTTACATTTTCAAAGTTTCTTTGAATTTTATAATTTTTCGTTTGTTCAATGTTTCGAATTTTCAGTTTTTCATTTTTCAAATCCTCGATTTTCCAATTTTTGATGTTTCTCGGTTTTAGTTTTTTCGTTTTTCAGTTTATTCATTATTCAATTTTTTATTTTTTGAATTTATCAGTTTTTCGATTTTAGAATTTTCGATTTTTTAATTTTTCATTTTTCCAATAAATGCTAGATTTTCCAGTTTTCCCATTTTTTAGTTTTTCAATTTTTACTATTTCAATTTTTCTGTATCTTACTTTTGGAGTCTTCAAAATGTAAGAAAAATTTTTAAATTTTGAGGTATTTTTTCCAGTAATTCCAGATTAATTTTGTTAAAAAAAAACGTATTTATAAGAGTTTAATTTTGTCATTTTACACATTATTAAATGCCGATATTCTCACAATTTTTAGAGTCTATTATTAAATTACTTTTAATTTCAACGACTTATTGAAAAAACATTTGACTTACCATGAATAAAAAAATCATCACAATTGAGATAGGGTGGGTGGGCGGGACTTAAATTTTGCTTAACACGGATTCTAAATTACAAATACATAGACTATGCAGTTCTATAAAATTTAAGAAACATTTGTTCTACAAAATTATAATATAACGTCATCATTTTTTAAGAAGCCATAAACGAAACACTTTTATTAACGATTTACCATGCTTACAATAATCTTAAGTCCTTTTTTATCGATCAAATAAAACCCTCACTTATTAGATTTGCTTATACAAGGTCACTCAAAAAAATCAGTCAATTTATATTATTAAATAAATCAAGAATTGCAAAAATGAATACTTGGAAATATTGCAGACGTTTTAAAGTTATTGTAAGTATGGTAAAAGTTTTTTTATGAAATTATTTATGTAGGCAACCAATAATACGATATCGTCCACCATCTGTCAATACTTTACAGGAATCTGTAAAAATCGTCAAACGTCAACCAACAACATAACCACTTTTTGCTGTTGTTTATTACAAAAACCATGTTTTTAATGAGGTGTTTATATTAAGTGATTACAAAATAGTGATAATGTAACTACCAGTTTGCAACGTAAGCGTTATCGGCACTCCAACCTCAAAATGTCCGTTCTAAGCCCCTTCGTATTTTGGGCCCAAAACGAGACCAACATATTTTTAAAAGTAGATTTAAAAGACGTTAAGGTGAGTGCAGCCCCCATAACCTTCACGATAATCAAAACCGCCTTCCAGCAACCGAATATTAACCTAGAAACACGTAAGCTGCAATTCCAGTCACAGGGAGTGGGGGCTAGAGGCTTAAACGACTATGCTTTCGAAATAGATTTTCACTCAGACGTAGATGTTAAGGTGAAACGCCTTTTTTTCGTTAGTTATCATAATAACGAGGGGATTGCAGAAAAGCGTGCACAAAATCACTGATAATAGGGTAGACTTCAATATAACGAAAAATGAGAAGGGGTGGTGGCCTAGGTTGCTAACACAGACCCAGAAACCCTTCTGGTTGAAAATCGACCATGACAGGTTCCAGTCGGAGGATATGGACGACGACGTGGCCGACGTCATGCAGGACTACCCAAACTTGTATGAGAAGTTACAGAAGGAGGAGTTCGGATATCGGAAAGGTGGCTATTTCAAATTCAACTAAACTCTTTTTGAACACTCTTTTTTGTTGCAGAAGACTTCAAAAAAGTCTACTTGTCGTTGTACAATTTGTTTATGTATGTGGGTTTCATGTACGTGGTTTGCGTTTTGTGCGTCAGGTATTTAAGAGACGGCTCGGACTCCTTCCCGGGGACTTACGCCGCAGTGGGGCCCGCTATGTGTTTCCTACACTTAATCCAGGCTCTGGAGATCCTGCACCCCCTTTTTGGCTACGTGAAAGGGGGGATGTTAATGCCCTCGATACAAATCGGGGGGCGCTTATTCGTACTTGTTATGATGTTGGAGTTCGAGCCTAGGCTCCAAGTCATGCCCGTGGTGTTTTATTTGTTCATGACGTGGTCCGCCGTTGAGATAATCAGGTACAAAATAATTTTTTTAAATCTGGTGTCATTTTTTATTTATTTATTTTTTTGTAGATATCCATATTATATGTCTCAATTATTCAAAAAAGAGAACGGTTTGCTGACCTGGCTCCGGTACACGGCGTGGATTTTTTGCTACCCGATTGGGTTTGTCTGTGAGGGGGTGATCATTTTTAGGAATATGATTTTCATGGAGCAGGATAACTCGTGGGCGCTGACGCTGCAGACGCCGATTGAGCTAACCTTAAGGTTTTCGGCGGTTTTGCGCATTTACTTGTTGATTGGTATCATTCCGACGATGTATCTCATGATGTCGCATATGTATAGGGCACGGAAGCAGAAAATCGGGCCGATTTCGGTGAGGAGGCCCAAAGCTAGGGTCTTTAAGAAGGAAAAATAGTCAATTTTGCACATAATCAAACTGTTATTGGTGGAAGTTTTCACAATAAAAAGTCTTAGAGGTGGCGCTTTCATGATTTTTTTTTATTAAACGAATCTGCTGGTGGGATTTTGTTTCGATAACGATAAAATATCGGTACCGATAAAATGTGGTGTTCTTTTTCTTGCGCATCTGCAATTTATATTTTCGTCCTTGTTATTTATCGCTTCGTATCGCATTGGTAGAAACAAAATCCCACTTGCTAAGAGATAAGACTGACTTTGGCAGATGACACCCTTTAAGAAAATAAACTTAGCCCCGCCCACCCACCCGTTTTCTCATTTTTTTCTTACGAAATAAGAAATAAATCTTAAGGTTAGTTCTTGCAACTACGATTAACGGTTTTTTTACAGTCTTATTTCTATCAGTTACCACGCCCACTTTAAGGAACATATAATAAACCCCGCCCACCCGCCCGCCTCCATTTCGGTCATTGATTTTATCTGCTCCGAATGAAAAATGGATCTTATACAGAAATAAAATTTGTCGCTAAAATGAGAAGAGGGTGGGTGGGCGGGGCTAGTACTTGTTAAGATAAGTCTGACTGGCAAGTCACATACCTCTAAGAAAACAGAGGGTGGGTGGGTGGGGCTAATACTTGCAACGAAAATACTGAACAATATTAAGGGTAGTAACTGGAATGAAATGAGTGAGGGTGGGCGGGGCTATTGCTTGTCTATAAGACTCGCTATGAAAAAGTTAAACTTAGCCCCGTCCACCCACCCGTTCTCTCATTTATTTTTCCTTCGAAATAAGAAATAAATTTTATAACAAATAATACAACAAAAAGTCATGCTTAGCGGTTTTTTACGGCCTAGTTTCACCACTCCCAGTTTACAGAAGAACATATAACTAAGCTCGCCCACCCACCCGCCTCCATTTCGGTCATTAATTTTATCTGAATGAAAAGTGGATCTTATAGAGAAAAAAAAATCAAATGAGAAGAGGGTGGGTGGGCGGGGCTAGTACTTGTTAAGATAGACTGATTTTGGCAAGTCACACCTCAAAAAAAAATAGAGGGTGGGTGGGTGGGGCTAGTACTTGCAACGATAAGACTGAACAATATTAAGACTAGTAACTGAAATGAAACGGAGGAGGGTGGGCGGGGCTATTGCTAGCCTATAAAAGATTCTCTAGAAAAGGTTAAATTTAGCCCTGCCCACCCGCCCGTTCTCCCATTTATTTTTCTTTTGAAAAAAGAAATAAATCTTGTAACAATAGTACAACAAAAAAAGTTAGGATTAGAAATTTTGAGATTTTTAAAAAGTTGTCTAAAAATCCGCAAACAATTCTAGGACGTAGATTCCGACGTGCTTATTCGAAAAATATACGGATCACGTTTTTTTATTCTTTCTCCTTTTGTTCTTTTTTTCGCTCCTCTCTTATCCACTTTTCTCGTGCCCGTTCTGCTCTTCCCCCGTTACTCCTCTTTTTCCCTTCTTTTTGATTCGTCTTTTTTCCTCTAATTTTTCGTTCTTTCCTTTCCTTCTCTCTCTTTGCCAATACTTCTTTTTGCTTCTCTCTTCGCCCTATTTACTCTCTTTCTATCCTTTCTCTCTATACCTCGCTGTGTGCCGTTGCCTCAATTTTTTCTCTCTATATTTTTTGGCTTCCTTTCCTACTTTTCCTCCTCTTTCTTTCTCCACCGGCTTTCTCCTTTTTCCACCTCTCTTTTCCCCTATTTTCGTCCTTTCTCTTCTGTTTTTTTTCACTCTTCTCTTATTCACTTCTCTCGTGTCCGTTCTGCTTTTCCCTGTTACTCCTGTTTTCCCCTTTTTTTGATTCCTTCACTCTCTTTGCCAATACTTCTTGCGTTTCCTCCTATTACTCGTCCCTGCCTCATTCTTATTTGCTCTTTCTGTTCCTTCTTCTGTAGCTTTCATCTCTCGCTCTTGTTCTCTTCTCTTTCCCTCTATTCCTCCCATCTTTTCCCGCTTTTATGGTTATTTTCCTTTATCTTTGTTTCTCCTCCTGTTACTTGCCTCTTTTCCCTACTTTAACACTTTCTTTTAGCGCCTTCATATAAGTCTTGACGCTTGTATGTGTGGCGTTCTCTCAATTCGTCTCCCCACTTTTTTCCGTTTTCTCCATCGCTATATTATTTTCTGACACTTTCCCACTTTTACTCCTCTTCCCTCACTCTTTCCTTCCTCATTTCTCCCTCTATACTCCCCCAGCTTTCTCTTTTCTTCATCTCTCTCTTTGTCTCTTCTTTTCAATTTTTTCTTTTGTTCTCTTATTCACTCTTCTTTTTCTCTCCCTGGCCATTCTCTGTATTTCCTCCCATTACTTCCGTTTTACCGTCCTCTTTCTTTCCGCTTTCTTCCATCCTCTTTTTCTCTATCTTTGCCAATTCTTCGTTATCTTCTTGTTACTCCTCACTTCCCCCTTCTTATTTTCTCTTTCTGTTCCCGTTTCCTGTTTTTTGTTCGATCTCTTTGTCTCTCCTCCTTCTACTCTTCTCTTACCCCTACTGAGTCTTTTTTCTACCCCTTTCATTCTATACCTCTCTACCATTCTCTATGTACAGTTATGTCAATTTCTCTCCCATACCCCCACCTCTTGTCTAGTTTTCCCACCTCTCTATATTTTCTGGCTCTCTCTTTCACACTCTTTCTCCTCTTCCCCCTCTTTTCCATTTACATTCTCTCGTCTTTTCCACGATTGTTCGTTATTTTTCCTTTTGTTTTCTTTTTCCATTCTTTATTTCCATCTTTCCTTCTCTCTCTTTGCCAATTCCTCCTGTTACTCTTCCCTTCGCCCTATGATTTTCTCTTTCTGCCTTGTTTTCTCTACGTTTTATCTTTCTTTCTCTTTCTACTTTTTCCGGCCATCTTTTCCGCTTTCACTGGTTCTTTTCCCTTCTCTCTGTTTCTTCCCCTGTTACTCCTTTCTTTGTGCTACGTCTTTTTGCCCCTTTCTCTGTATACCTCTATTTTTCTCTATCTGCCCTTCTCTTGACTTCTATGCCGCACCCCCACCATCTTTTGTCCCTGTTTTCTCTTATAAGGTTTGTCTGTGAGGGGGTGATTATTTTTAGGAATATGATTTTCATGGAGCAGACGCCGATTGAGCTAACTTTAAGGTTTTCGGCGGTTTTGCGCATTTATTTGTTGATTGGTATCATTCCGACGATGTATCTCATGATGTCGCATATGTATAGGGCACGGAAGCAGAAAATTGGGCCGATTTCGGTGAGGAGGCCCAAAGCTAGGGTCGTTAAGAAGCAAAAATAGTCAATTTTGCACATAATCAAACTGTTATTGGTGGAAGTTTTCACAATAAAAAGTCTTAGAGGTGGCGCTTTGATGATTTTTTTTTATTAAACGAATCTGGTGGGATTTTGTTTCGTTAACGATAAAATATCGGTACCGATAAAATGTGTTCTTTTTCTTTCGCATCTGAAATTTATATTTTCGTCCTTGTCATTTATCGCTTCGTATCGTATTGGCAGAAACAAAATCCCACTTGCTAAGAGATAAGACTGACTTTGGCAGATGACACCCTTTAAGAAAATAAACTTAGCCCCGGCCACCCACCCGTTTTCTCATTTTTTTTTTTACGAAATAAGAATTAAATCTTAAGGTAAATTATCTAACAAAAAAATTACTGTTAGAACTTTTTTGTTTTAATAACAACCCCACTTCCATTCTGCAGAGGAATATATAACTAACCCCGCCCACCCACCCCGTCTCCATTTATGTGATTAATTTTATGTGGCCTTATTGCAAGTGGATCCCATACTGAACGGAAATAAAGTTAGTCCTTAGAATGAGAATAGCGTGGGTGAGTGGGCTGGGTTAGTATTTGCTAAGAAAAGACTGACTTTGGCAGATGACACCCTTTAAGAAAATAAACTTAGCCCCGCCCACCCACCCGTTTTTTCATTTTTTTCTTACGAAATAAGAAATAAATCTTAAGGTTAGTTCTTGCAACTACGAATAACGGTTTTTTTACAGTCTTATTTCTATCAGTTACCACTCCCACTTTAAGGAACATATAATAAACCCCGCCCACCCGCCCGCCTCCATTTCGGTCATTGATTTTATCTGCTCCGAATGAAAAATGGATCTTATACAGAAATAAAATTTGTCGCTAAAATAAGAAGAGGGAGGGTGGGCGGGGCTAGTACTTGTTAAGATAAGACTGACTGGCAAGTCACATACCTCTAAGAAAACAGAGGGTGGGTGGGTGGGGCTAGTACTTGCAACGAAAATACTGAACAATATTAAGGGTAGTAACTGGAATGAAATGAGTGAGGGTGGGCGGGGCTGTTGCTTGTCTATAAGACTCGCTAGGAAAAAGTTAAACTTAGCCCCGCCCACCCACCCGTTCTCTCATTTATTTTTCCTTCGAAATAAGAGATAAATTTTATAACAAATAATACAACAAAAAGTCATGATTAGCGTTTTTTTACGGCCTAGTTTCACCACTCCCACTTTACAGAAGAACATATAACTAAGCCCGCCCACCCACCCGCCTCCATTTCGGTCATTAATTTTATCTGAATGAAAAGTGGATCTTATAGAGAAAAAAAAAATAAAATGAGAAGAGGGTGGGTGGGCGGGGCTAGTACTTGTTAAGATAGACTGATTTTGGCAAGTCACATACCTCAAAAAAAAAATAGAGGGTGGGCGGGTGGGTCTAGTACGGAAGCGTAGAATGGTCAGGTGGATTTTTTTTTGGAAAAAACTTGACATGTCGAGAGAAAACTCGACATGTCGAGAAAAAACTCGACATGTCGAGAAAAACTCGATATGTCGAGATTAAACTCGACATGTTGAAAAAAAACACGACATGTCGAGAAAAAACTCGACATGTCGAGTTTAAACTTAACATGTCGAGTTTAATCTCGACATTTAGACTTTTTACTTCCCGAGCGTAAGTGAAGGAAGTATTGTAATCGAGTCTGTCGACCGACCCTCTACTTTTACGTTTTCTCGACCTTCAACAACCCCTACAGTACGAAGAAATAGGTCTCCTGTGTCCGTCTGTCTATCTGTCCGTCCGTCTGTCTGCCATCCCGTATTTTTATTACACAGATAATCTTAGAAAGTACTGGGCCGATTGTTGTCAAATTTTGTATTTATATTAGGAATATCATAGATGGTAAAACGCTAACCAAAATTAATTTAATCATCCCCACCAATAAATGTGATGACGTCACTTAAAAAAAATGCAAATAGTAAATGGGTTCTAAATCGTAAAAAATAACATAGTCCTACACATGTAGTTTATAACTCCGAATTGAGTTTTTGCCCGAAAAGTCCAGATTTTTAGAAAAAAAAAATCAAAATTATGAAACAAGATATTGCAATTTAATCTGGAATCTGCAAAGCTGAGTGCTTTGAAATTTTGCAGATGGTTTACAGTTATGATAAGCATGATAAATTTTTGATTAAAATATGTTTACTTTTCCGTTCCAAAAAATTGGTCTAAAGAGTTTAGACAGTACTTCCCTCGCTGTCGGAAACTTGACGACTGCATGCCTATTGTGTTTTTTTTCTCATTACATTTTTGTAGTGGGAATTTAAAAAAAAAATTGCGATGACGTCATCAACATTTTTGCAAGGACACGTATGTCAGTTGGGATAGATGTAGTGTAATACTAAGAATAAGATTATTGTATTCCCAAATTTTCAGGAAAATGAATTGGGTCGTTTTGAATATTGATTTGTAATAATCAATAAAATAACGAAACAATTTACTCACGTATACGGCGCCGGCGTATACTAGGAGAGGTAACTGAAAATCGTTTATGTATAAGCATTCTTAATTTAAGACGACAAGCGTAACATAGCATACGTGTGAGAGTCAAACAGAGAAACTGTAAATATACATTTGTTCTAGAAATGTCAGTATAAAAACATAAAGGGTTTCTAATCTTTGACCGGGGAACTAGAAATTTGAATAATTTTAGTCATCTGTTTTGAGGCGATAAATTCATTCAAATCAAACAAATGTCTCCGTGACATTCTTCCGATGTATAAAAGATTAACATTTTTAATTCTACGCATGTTGCTCAGATAGCTTTATTCCCGTTGATAATATGCTGTAAATATGTTTTTTGCACTTATGACCTTTTTTGATAACTGCGGCATTCACCAGCATGCGGGAGGTCGAACTTCTCGCACACGTGCTTTTTTCTTTCGTTGCCATGGTAACCTTAAAATAGTCCGGAAATGTCAAAATGCCAGTGTTTACGCCGCTGTCAACGTCATTGATTATAAATAACTCACAATTAATCTTTTTGGTTTAAACGTTTATTCGTTGCAAAAAATTTTGTACCAAACACGTTCGTGAAGCCTGCTTCCTGCATTTCCGTAACCGTCCATGCAGGAAGCAGGCTGTCCCGAACTAGTTGTGTAAATTACTATTACTAATATGTCCGTACTTGTGCAGAGACGGTTTATACCACAGAGCACCTAACTTTTATTGTTATACGGATATGCTTGTGATGCTGGACCAAGTTAAGGGACCCCTTCTGGCCTAAATGTAATAAAATAAAATGTATTTGTTTTTAGTTTGGTTATTACAAAAATACGATTCCATCTTTGACTGATCGTTTGTTGACACAAGATCCTGCAGTCACGGATTTTTTTTGTTGAAATTTGTCTTACGTAATTTAATATTTTTATACATATAACTAGCTGACCCCGTGAACTTCGTTTCACCTACAACTTAATTTTGAATCTGCAAACCGAATGCTTTGAAATCTTGCAGATGTTTTAAACATCTGATAAGCATAATAAATTTGTATTGAAAATAATACTTACTTCCTCCAAAAAATTGATGACGTCAGCCCAAAATTTTGCCAAATGAATCCTTTTTAAAATATCCAAAATAGGATGAGACTATACTTGTGATTTATCATTCCATTCATATTTTTTAGTTTTGCTTATAGGGGGTGTCTCAAAAAAAATTA